GCGGTCGCAAAATTGCAGGACGTGGTTAAGGTCGTTAGGGAGGGCACATTGGTATGACACATTAGTGGTTGAATGGTAGATGACGCAGTCGTCTGGAAACTTGCGAATATGACAGGACAAGAGTTGCGATAAATTATTAATATATATTAGAAATAAAAGACGACCAAGAACAGATCCTTGGGGGACGCCCGCTATGACTTTGTATTGACTTTGTACAAAATGTACAATATTGACTTTGCACAAAATGTGAAGGTTTTTGGTGTGATATTTAATTAGTACGTGAGCTGGGATGCCCAAGTACAACGCATAGCTGGCAGACTTTCAAAAGGTGTGGGCATTATTTAAAAATCCCGTCATATATTACCCCTTTCTGTCTTAATTCTTCTTTATAACCCCTTCTTTTACTCTTGCTGTAATTACTGCATCCTTATTTGAGTAGCACAACGGTTAAAAACATGCATCACTTGCATGTTCTTCACAAGAGAATATTTCGAATTATGTGCAATGCGGAGTTCGACGCCTCACACATTACAGCTTTTCAAAAACATTCATATAGTTCTAATTACAGAGCATTAAGATTATAAACTTCGTCTAACATATGAAACGTCTGTAAGGCAAAATCAACTAGTTTTTTCTATCAATCGCCAATATGAAGCGGAGAGCGCCTGCATATGCAGGCGCTCTCCGCTTCATATTGGCGAGGCGTTGACCATGTTGCCGCATGGTCAACGCCTTGCTCGAGAACAGGCTACGGCCTCCAGATGTTTCAGTACTCGTCGCCTCATGTTATAAACAAAAACACATAAACTGGGCACGGATTTGATGAGTTTGAGCAGAAAGGATATTCGTTCCTTGTTTCTCTAGTGTTATTTGTGCCTATTCTTGTAAGGACCTCCGCCCTGCAAGAAATGTTCGTGATGTACGTCAATTTTTTTTTTCTTCTTTTATATGCTGTGTGTTTTGATCCTATGTAAACGTTTTCTGCGAGTCACTAGTATGCAAAATAGTTTCTCTCGTTGCTGTTGCTGGTGGGGAGGAGAAACTCTGTCAAGCGACAAAAGTCAGCTTTTTTGTCTTCCTCCCCCTCTCCCCTGGAGAGAAACAATAAAGTTGAAGTTAAAGTTGAAGATTAGTGGACTTGTTATTAACTCGGACATATTGGGAGTGGTTGTTAAGAAATGATTTAATCCATCTTAAGATATTGCGGCCTAAGTTTATCCTATCAAGATTTAGTACCAAGCGCTTATGAGGTACTTTGTCAAATCCTTTTGAACAATCTAAACAAATCGTGTCTATTTTGTATGTTAGAGTCGAGATTAATGCGAAGATCACGAAGAAAAATTGCTGACTGAGTTTCACAGGTAAATTCTTAACGCAAGCCGTGCTGCGACGAATAGAAGAAGTTGATCGAGTCCACAAAATGCATGACTTCAGTGAAAATGACGTGTTCCATGATTTTGCAAGGCAAGCTCGTTGGAGAGATAGGGCAGTAGTTTAATGGGGATTTTGTATTACCTAATTTGCGGACGGGAACGGCCTTTCCCACGTTCCAGTCTTCCGGTATGTTACATGTTGAAAGTGAGTGAGAAAATAACAAACACAAATATGCTGCAGAGATGTGCTTAGTATTGTTTTAGAAATTTGGAATTGATTTCGTCTACGCCGGCTGATGATGACAGTTTAATGTTATCGATTACTGATGCAATAACAATAACATCACCAAAAAAAGTTATGGGAGATATTGGACACTTGGTGTTAGGTAACATCCTAAATGAAAAAATTGTAAGGGTGCAGGCGAGCTGGTGGAAGTTCTCCTAAATGAATCCTAAATGACACATCCTAAATGAATCCTAAATGACACATCCGATTCTGCATTGAAAGCGGATGAAAACATAGTGTTGAAGACATTTGCACATTCAGCCTAATTCACAAGTTTTCCCGATTTATTGGTAATGGCAACAGTATGCTTTTTTCTGAGGGTTTATTATGTGCCGGAATTTTCGGGCCTTTTTAATCAACATGTTTGGTTATGTCCACAAGGGAAAGAAAAGTACTTGGCGTTTCAGATTGCGGTTCAATGTGCATCCTCAGCCGCGCAGTATCTTCCCTGCGCACCAGGGCCAACCATCAGCTTGGCTGAGTGGAAAATATGTTTTTTTTTCTATTATTTAATCTTTTGAGGGTTTTAGTGAACCACGTTTTATGCTGATATGCATTGAAACTGAACAAGGGGTTGAAAGTATTTGCTGGTACGTTTATCGTACTTTTAAAAATCAACCAATTTTCATCAATTGACTGGTTGTGAAATGTTTCAAAAACTGGAGAAAAGGTGCTCGGCTCGTTATTTATAGTTTCATAATTTCCTTTAGCGTACGGGCGAATTGTTTTCTTTTCGGTATGACGTTTTGAAGGGGTAAGCTCAAAGACAGCATGAATAACTTTGTAGTCAGAAATCTCTTGAAGGTATTTTATGGATAATAGACTGTCAGGGTAATTGGTTAGTATGAGACCTAAGATATCTACAGATTCACGAGCGACGCGTGTAGGCCATATTACTATCTGGGTGAGAGTAAAATTGAGACAAACCTTAATGAATTCTCTGGCTTCTGAGTTGCTTGAAGTTAAGGGCGATGGGTAAATCAAAATAACAGTTGGCATATTAAAGTAACCCAAAGGAAAAATTTGTGCATTTGGCTACTGTACAGAAAGTTGACATAGTTGGTCGTTGGACGGCAAAAGTCAGTACTATAATTTGGTGGTCTGTAGCAGATGCCCAGTACAACTGTGCGCGAAGAAGCCCAACAGATGAGCCACAATGCTTCAATATCACGTGGAATGGTAATGCGAGAATAGGACAACTGCTGGCTAACGGCGATGAGTAGACCTCTAGCTCGTGCGCCTTAACGATCTTTTGAAAAGAGGTGAAAATTTGGCACGTCAGCCAGGACTTCAGCATCAGTGACGTCGGCAGTTAACCATGTTTCAGTTAGTAGTAATATATTGCTGCTGGATGACGACACGAGATGAGATACAAGATCCCGTTTCGAAAGGAAGCTCCGTATGTTGGTAAAGACAACAAATAAGGAAGTATTTACACGAGAGGTGAATTGAGGACGGTTAATAGGTCGCCGATAGACTGGCGATTGTTATGAAATTTTTTTACAGTCTGTTTTGTACCGTAGCGAGAATGGGGCTGCCTTGTAACTAAGTGCTTCCGGGCGTTTTGGACGAGGCATGAGAAATCTTCGCCATCGCTAAAGGCGGTGCCCTTTAACTTACGGCCGTTCGAAAGAATGGCCTCCTTAGTTTTAGGAAACGTTAGTTTCACGATTAATGGGCAGCAGCGTTTCTTTGCGTGATAGCCGAGACGGTGAGCTCACTCTGTATCTCTAGGTTCGAGGGTCACATGGAGGTGATCAGAGCATAACTGAATTACTCTTTCTTCGGACTGAACAGATTTAAGTCTCATGTTGGACGGGATCAGGAACAAAGTAACATAATAAATTATTTCTCCGTGAACGGTTTTCAGCATCGTCCAATCGGGAGTTCAACTTGAAGACTATCGGCGTTCTTTGAGTGGTATCAGTGCGTGCCCTCTCAAATTCAGATTGCAAGTTTTCTTTTTTTGCAATAGTTTGTTTCGTGGATCATTGTTTTTTGTTTAGTAGTCGTTGCACTTAAGCAGTAGCTGCCTCTCGAAATTTTCATCAGTTATGTTTCCTCACTTTCTTGAAAATGCAGCTCCGGCGACGCCGAAGAGACGTTCTACCGACGCTCTCGAAGGAGCGGCGGTGTTGTGCTTCAGCAAGAGCTGGTGGATCTGGGATTCCCCTCTCTCTTGTGTTCTCTCTACTTCTAAGGTCCGAAGTTGACAACGGCTTATGTGCCTCCCTGCGTTGGCAATTTCCGGTTTTACATTCGGTCCGTACTCGGTTCTAGAAGGTTCAACCAACGAACCTTAGTGTAGTCGCTGCGTGAAGGACATTCCCAGCTGTAGAGTTCCATACAGCAACGTTTATCCCGGGACACGTCAGTCGAATTGTTCGACTGACGTGTTCAGCGATATACTTTGCTGTACTGTCTTAGTTTTCGTTGTTTTTCGGATTGCTCACGTATCGTTCTCGCAATACACGCCTACCCAGTATAGAATAAAAAGAAGGCCGTTTAAGCGGTCTTCTACAGATTACTCCTCAAAAGTAACCAGATACCGTTACTCGTTACTTGGCCTTAAAAGTAACTAAATACTTTAGCCGTTCCTCTTCTAGAAAAGTAGGTAAATACGTTACTTGTTACCAAACATATTAACAGTTACTTGTAACGCGTTGCGTGGATGTCTGGTCTAGTCTGGTCAAGTGCCTAGTTTCCGGTCGAGGGAGTTGACGTTGACGCACGAGCCGTCACGCAGTGGGAGGACAGATGAGTCACCAGTATCGCGTGCATAGCACGTAGGCACACATTCCGAGGGGACGCTCGTGAAGGTACAATAGGGCAGAAAGCAGCACACGTGCCATGATGGAGGAAAGCACCTGCATAGAGAAAGCGAGTGAATGAGTTGACTGTACATGTCTGGTCGAGGGAGGTGACACACGAGCCGTCACGCAGTGGGAGGACAGATGGCAGTCGCCGGTATCGCGTGCATGGAACGTAGGTACACATTCCGAGAAGACGATCGGGCATGCACAGTAGGGGAGAAAGCAGCACACGTGTGATGACGGATGAAAACACCTGCATAGCGAAAGCGAGTGGATGAGTTGACTGTGTCGTAGCATAGCCACCGAGGCCCACCCTACATATCTGCATATTAATTACATTTGAACTACTACAGAGTACGTCTAGACTACATGTCTGCATTTTCATTATAAACCGTGTCTTTTTTATATCTTTTCTTCTGAATTTACATTCGCGTGGCTGAATATGAAGACACCTCACAGTCCACCGCCAGGCTTATTTTGCTATATAAAACAACGCCAGCTCACGAAAGCACACGCGCACTACCAGACTTCAGCCAAGAGCGTCCAAAGAAACCAACCTACGGAAAACCATGACGACTCTGGTGAGAGACATCAGTTTTGTATATTCTGCTTTCTAACTTATATACGGTGTTTTAAACTCCTTTGTTTATAGATAGACTTTTTCTGTTTATTTTCCTTTTAAACGACACGTTTTCACATACATTTTATATGCTAAATTCAGTATAAAAGATTTAGAATAATATTGAACTACAACGCAGACTTGCCACTTGAATTTATCAATACCATTTTAACTTAAAAGGTTGTAAATATACTAACTGACGAAGAATGATCCTAAAATCAGCGTAAAAATACAGATGCCGTCTCGCAATTCATAGTCTTTGAGAGCCTCAAAACGCCATATTGAATTTCGGCTGTTACATTTATGTGAGGGACTAAACTATGAACGTTCTTGTATTTCATACTTACTTAGGATGAGAGCTGAGATATTCTCATAGAAGCATTTAATCTAAAAATTGCTAATTCTTTGAGTATGCAATAATGATCCATATATTACTTCATTATAGACATGATAGGACACCGCACGAATAAATCTAACAAAACACAATCCGCTCTCATAAGCAGCATAAAAATTAAAAAAAAATCAGTCTCAATCCTCTCGTTCTCCGTGAGTGGACGATGGTTTAGCAACTTTACACAATAAAAAAATGTCGAGTATTTCACTGCGAAGGAACAAACAAAATTGTTTGTTGATTCGGAGTTTATTTTCCGCTAAAAAGACTTCGCTTATGGGAGTTTATTTTGTTAGTTTTCCCATTTTCTAAAATTCGGAGCCAAATTTTAATTTGTTGACAATTTTTCCTCATTTCAAATAGAAATTAAAAGTCCGGACATGAACGTACATTACATATTTCAAAACTCGATTCTATCGAATACTATTTAATCAGCTGCACTTGGCATTGGCGCATTACTATTGGCAAGGCTAACTATCCCGCGGCAGATACTGCGAAATTGTGTCGCTTCAACAATAGTCGATTCTTTCAAATAAGTAAACTCCTGGACGTGGTCGCTGGAAAGTATGGGAGCTTCAGCTGCACTCTCCCATCCATTGAAATATGCGCGTTCATAGCTATCACCGTTAAAAAAAAACTGTACCACTCGTTTTCTTGAGACCCACCTATATAGTGTGGCCCAGACTAGAAACCTAAACAATGGCTTTAGTCGTGACCAAGACAACACACCGTAACGAGCTAAAAGGTAACCCATTTTTTGTCAGTGGTCCAAGACTGAAAGGAAACTAACACGCTCCTCTCAGGACCAGAGATAATGTGATTTTATAAAATGTATCTGAAAAATACCGCTTTTTTCATTTTGAAATTTCTGTCGGTACCTCGAATTTTGTAGTTTTCCTTGGCGGCAATTTTACGGCGAGAATTTTTCGGATTTTTTCTGATTTATCCGATAACACAGTAATAGAAAAAAGCATACAAAAATTTACTCTTAAATATTGTCGCGCGTTGACCATCTCATCAGAGACTTTAAAACATAAAAGGGAAACGTTCACATAAAAACATACGGTATGAAGTGGGATCTGCTGGGTCGTGTGCACACTGACCTTTTAACTTCTATTGCTGACCATTCCCTAAAGTGTGAGTTGGTGATTATCACTGTTGCACACGTTCCTCAAAAACGGGAATAAAATCACGTTCCTCGTTCCTTCTCAATCGTGGAACGGGTTCCCGTTACAAGTTCCCGGAATTCGCAAAGGAACACGCTGCCGTCCCATTCGTAAGATTGGAACGTGTTGTTCAGTTAATGGTACATTTGCTTATTTTAATGAAATATTGTGCATGATAATCCGGATATAAGATAAATAAATCAAGTTAAAATATTCACATAAAACTACGTGTCCTGTTGGGACAATCACATTTGTTCCCGTTGTTTTTTTTCGATGATCCCTCAGAAACTTTTTCATCCCTTGAAATCAGAGGTTGAAATGGACGATAATAAAAGACCTAAACGCCTAATAAAGTCAGGTAAATCTGCAGTTAAATACAAAAATAAATAAGAAACGCCGTCCGTCCTGCCGTTTTCTCGAAAATGTAGCGAGTTTTCGTCCCAGTTCCACCGATGCAAGATGGAGCAGCGGCGTTCCTCCCAAGAGGAACGCGTTTCGGGAACGTGGTTCTGTAGAGCACTGGTGCATTTTTAGATAGAGAATAAAATAGCGCGAAAAAAATAGAGACAAGAAAGTAGACAGTGCAGGTGTTCCTTTTGTCTATTCTCTTGTCTTTGTTCATTTTGCGCTATTTCATTTGTACCTCATTATTAATTATGCGTGTCTCTACAAGTCAATATTGTTACGGAGTAAAGGCTGTTTCACATGCTGCGATTTGAAGTAAATGTGAGATTAAAATCATAGTCGCACTGTCACAGCGGCTCTGGAACTGGTTTCCACGAGGTTGATATTTTTGTCGCAGAGTCGGTGCCATCACTTTCTCGTCAACCAGCCGTTCATTAGCAGCTTTTACCCGCGATAGCTGCGTATTCGGAAATAAATTTAGTACCCTAAAAGCTTTTGGTTTAGTGTTTAATTGTTAGAGATTTTTAGTTACACGTTGTATTTGTAAAACATGTGTGTTTATTACAACTTTTTTGTTGTACTTTAGGCAAAGTGAAATGCGTCGCGTTCGTGTCCGCTGCAACTAGAAGAGCCGGCCGCGCCGACAGAAATTGCGCGGTTGTTGGAGCATGTGAAATCAAACATTGCGATAGCACTCAGGCGTCGGCTGTAGCACCGAGTGTTTTTCGCACAGTCACTGCATGTAAAACGAGTTTAAGGCGAAGAGGCGTTAAATAATGAGCTGTAAAGAAAGGTTTAGTTAGCAAACTTGTACCAAGCAAAACAAAGAACCAGCGTCGATACAGCAGAAAAGCGGGCACCGATTTCGCGGCGTAACAGGAAGCGAGAGCGAGACTGACTCTACAAGGCCATGGGCAGCTCCTTATCTAGTATGCATCGGCATCGCAACAATTCGGCCCAGAAGGTTCAAGCAACGCGCGTTCTGGTTGAGAATGTACAGGCACTTTCGAGAACAAAAAACTAAGACAAAATAATAAAAGTTACGCCCGAGTAAAAGAAACGCAACGTCTTGATGTATTGCGTGACCGAGTGCTGCTTGTTCGGCCCTGCGCGCGGCAATATCCGCCCGAACATTTTTTTTAAATCGCATACGAAAACAAATAACGGCCACTGTATGCAAAAATGTAGACTTGAATATCAGTTCAAAAAAAAGTGAAAGCCGTTTACAACTTCCTGTAACGCCGAATGGGAGCGCAGCTCTTGAGGAGGAGGAGTGGAGGGTATATTCCTCCTCCTCCCTCGTGATCATGCCTGCTAGTCCGCCTCCCCTCCTGCTCCCCCTCCCTCTCCTTTACCACCTCCTCGTCCTTCAAGCTCCTCCCCTCCCCTCGCCTCCGCCTCCTCGTCTCTCCCCCCCCCCCTCCTCCACCTTCGTACTGCTTTCCTCCTTGCCGCTCAAGCCGGAAAGGGTCGCGTAAGAGCTGTGCTCTTACGCGACCCTTTCCCCCCCTCGAACCATACTAGACAATGAGGGGAGGAGGAGGAGGGGGAGGAGGAGGAGGGCAGAGGTCCGGGGGGTCACGTGACCTCGAGGGGACGGGATCACATGACCTTGGGCGGGCCGTCACGTGACCGGCGGGGGGAGGGGAGTCACCCCCCGGGGTCACGTGACCTTGGCGGGGGAGGAGGGGGGAGGAGGAGGAGCGGAGAGGGAGGAGGAGGACGGGCGACGCCGACGCCAACGCCGACGCCGCACAGGCTGGAAACGGGTCATGTGACCCCCTCCCCCCGAGGTCACGTGACCCGCCCGGACCATACTACACAATGAGGGGAGGAGGAGAAGGAGGGGAGGAAGAGGAGGAGGAGGGGAGGAGGAGGGGGAGGAGGAGGAGAGGCGTCGCCGTCGGCGTCGCCGTCGCCGTCGGCGTCGACGCCGACGGCGACGGCGACGCCGACGGCGACGCCAACGGCGACGCCAACGGCGACGCCGACGCCGCTCAGGCTGGAAACGGGCCCCTAAGAGCTGCGCTCTAAAACGTCGCATTGCAACTTGTTAAACTCACCTTGGAATTCTCCTGCAGCTTCGTCTGACTATCCTCATCGTGGCTGTTGCCGGCGTGCTCGGAAGCTCCAAAAGGGCGGCTAGGGCGGCTACGCCAGCTACGGCGGCTACACCGGCCACTCCGGCCACGGCGGCCACGCCAGCTACAGCGGCCACGCCGGCTACGGCGGCTACGCCCGCTACGGCGGCTACGCCAGCTAGAAAGGCTAGGGCGGCTACACCGGCTACACCGGCCACGCCGGCTACGGCGGCTACGCCCGCTGCGGCTGCTACGCCAGCTAGGAAGGCTAGGGCGGCTACGGCGGCTACACCGGCCACGCCGGCTACGGCGGCTACGCCAGCTAGGAAGGCTAGGGCGGCTACACCGGCCACGCCGGCTACGGCAGCTACGCCCGCTACGGCGGCTACGCCAGCTAGGAAGGCTAGGGCGGCTACACAGGCCACGCCGGCTACGGCAGCTACGCCCGCTACGGCGGCTACACCAGCGAGGAAGGCTAGGGCGGCTACACCGGCCACGCCGGCTACGGCGGCTACACCCGCTACGGCGGCTACGCCAGCTCGGAAGGCTAGGGCGGCTACACCGGCCACGCCGGCTACGGCGGCCACGCCCGCCACGGCAGCTACGGCGGCTGCGTAGCCGGCAAATGCGACGGCTACGGCGGCTACGGGCTCGGATACGGAAGCAGTCTGCGCCGTGGAGGAGTGTGCAGCAGATACGGCGGGCTCGGATTCTACGGTGGACACGGAAGCTTCTATGGTTTAAATCCAAATGAAAACGCGGGAATAAATAACGTTTCCCTTTCTAACAATGCTCTTGATCTCATTTTAGTCATCACTTCACTTCTAGAGTCAACGGGCAGATCGCCTTATGGAACTGGAAAATTGGCCCTAGGTTTCGCACTCCCATAAATACGACGGAATTATTTTTTTTAGTTTTATAACCCCGTGAAAATATCCCTGCACTTTTCCAGCTCTCGATATCATCCTCAGAGTGACCTTTGATCGAAATCGGTGCCCCCTTTCCGGACGCAACTTAACCCAAACCAGGCTGCTCGAGCGACGTCTGTGGGATATCCATAGCATGTTGTAACACAACTTAGACGTCCGCAGGGATACATTTGCTTTAGGAGAATAATTGAGAATGACACTTTACTTCAGCTGTTTGGCGCCACCTTTTGGCAAACCTGGAAGCTTGTTTGCGATGACTTTCTAAAAAACCGTAAACGATCACGCATCTGTCTTTTTTTTAAATAGACGAAAACACGATAATGTGAACCGTTGGAACACGATTTGCGTGCCTACCAGGACTTTATTATCACCGTTGGGATGCCGCCAAGTAACGGGCATTTAAAGAACAGAGCCAGTTAACGGAAGTATGGCTCGTTCGTGGAGTTACTTAGTCCTGAATGCGACTTAGCGGATAACGCTAACGAATTTACTACGTTGACAATATTAATGGGGCCATGAAACTATTTTTGTACTTTCGATGAATACAACTCGAAATCACTCCCTGACGTAAGTAGCCGAATAAACTTGCCTTAGCTTTTCTTTTTAAGCAAAACCAAATGGCAAATAAATTCGAGAAATATGAGCATCGTTTGACCCATTAACTCAGAGCCAGAACAAGGGGCCACGTGGCCTGGTGCATATTCTATGCCGCACATTTTAATCATAGCCACGCTCTTGGGTCGGCGTCTAGAGAACCGCAAGCTGAGTTCCAGGCAACGTTACTAAAACACTCAGTTGGGAAACTCGCCGTCGAAACCTGGGCCGCTGGCGTCCACCGAGACCGAGCTAAACGCGACAACAGCGCCACTCTTTTTCGTTTGTCTGTACTATGGTCACCTCGAGCTTTTTGAAAGCCTGTTTTTTGCGTAAAAACAAACGGAAAAGACTCTTTTTGTATGAAATTTATTGGAGTTTAGTACCAAATGATGGGCGCGCGATGTTTTTATCATCTTTAGTTCGCAAGGTTTTGCGGAACAATTAATATTGTTTTTATAAAACCATGCCTCAGCGGGCCTTTCAGGTAGCGCGTCCCGACCTAGGTGCATTTTAACTTCAGTAGTTCAACGCGGCGCGTCCGCCGGGGAGACGGGGGTTCACCCCTGTCAAAGCCAAAAATAGAAGTCACGTGCAGTTTCTCGAGTGGCCGCTGCAGGAGAAATGGTGGCGTTGTGTTCGTCATTAGCTCGGTGCTCGGAGACAGATTGGGGCCATATTTTTAGGGCTGTCTCTATGGGAGTTTCCCAACTGAGTGTTTTAGTAACGTTGGTTCCAGGCATTATTAGAATTCGGCTGTTCTAATCACCGCAGTGTTTGGACACGAGCCATTACCCAAGTTTCCGCCGAGTCATTGATTGTTACGAGCCGAAGTCGAGTGCTCACGCAGTTCTCGTGTCCAATCTATGAGCCGCGCTCGATTGTCATCAGGTGGGTGATTTCTATCACACAATTACGACATCAAGCTTTGCAAAAGCAAGACTGAAATAAACAGTCCCCTTTTATCCTAGAAATTTCACCGCGGCAGAAGAAGCGTTTGAATCAGCGGCGGTCTGTACGAATATACTTGGGCCAGGTAGGACCAGTACGCCTCTGCTAAGTCATGAACATCTCAACACGATATCGTTTCGTAACCCCTTTAAAGCGTCCACAGTGATCCGCAATGTGCATTTCACACCATCAATATCTCCGTTTTTTGCAGACGATAGGTAGGAGGAGGATCTGAAAATGCGGGGAACTCTGACTGGTCGGAGCCCCTGATGATGATGGCATCCAGCATCTTGAGAACCAATGTCAGCGCGGAGCCGTACACAATACAGCCATAATCAAGTCGGGAGCGTACGACCAAACGCTAGATGCGCAATAAAAAACACCGATCAGCCTCCAGGGCACGTGCTACAACATCTTTAGTATATTAAGTGATTTCACACATTTCATTCTGAGGCTCTTAACATGTGGAATGAAAGTCGTTCTAGAGTGAAATACAAGACCTAAAGACTTGTGCTCGTTCTTTAGTGTAATAGGAACTTTATACATAATCAAAAAAGGCTCTAGTGAAATTTCGCGACGAAGGAAGAAGCACACACAAACCATTTACTGAGGAGGTAACCTAAAACCTTTGATATTTGCGCTTTTGACATAATTGTTGATTGCAAGTTGAAGTCGACGTTCACAAATGGACGGATAACAAGATGTGACTGAAATTTGTACATCATGAACATACGGTGAGTACTGAACAAATGGGGATATAATACGAGCAATTGAATTCATTTTTACGATAAAAATGTGACGCTAGGCACACCACCTTGTGCGACTTCACTGTTTTGCGAGAATTCTCTAGAAATAATTGCCCCACGCTTCACAGGAAAAGCGCGCTCCCGGAGGTGACTATGGATAGCACCAAGCATACTGGCTTGAAGACCAATGTGGAACAAATCCTGCAATATGCATTTTTTCTAGAGTTTCACTTTCGGAAGAGCCATATGTCAAACGAATGTCGAATTCGATGTCTTAACTACGACAATATAGTCATATTAGCAAAAAAAAAAACAGTTAAAAATTCACATGCCACAAGGAATGTAACGGCCAATTCAGGGCTTGATATGATATCGCCTTCTATGCAGCACAAATGAAAACCTATTTTAAGTGCATGACTTCAGTGTCTTTTATTCTAAATAATCATTTCAAGCTTTTTCTTTCAATACGAAATTGTTTGGAGCGATTTATGCAAGTTGGTGTTCTTCACGTGTGGCAAACACGGTAAATACAAGGGACTCCGCAGAGTAATTGATTTTTAGTTGTCTCTGGTTATTAGCGATGCAATGATACTGCATGGCTTTGTTTACCACCACGTGACGAGCATATTTAGATAGCTAATGCCGACAACATGGCCTAGCATGCGACGATACAGTGTTGCGACAATCATTATTAATGTACATTATCTCTTAGTGACAAGGACCGGTAGTTAATATTTAATTGGATATTCGTGCTCTAATTGAAATACACCTCATGTTGTGAAAGTTGCTTTATATGCGCATAAAGGTAAGTCCTGCTTTCCATTGCTGTGCTCTTCGACATGCTTCGCTTACAAAACACCGTAACAAGGTAGTATACGTAGCGAAAAAAGAAAAGGAAACAAGAGACGCAAGGATGTTGCATTTCAAGAATGGGACATTAAAATAAAAATAAACATGTAGCCATGTGTGGTTTAGACTAGCTACGCGTTTTACCAAAGTGCCACCCAACGTAGCCGTTTGTATAATTAATTATTACAACACATCGTTTGGTCTGCGGCATAGAGAAATAGCGAGAACCTGAAGTATTAGCACAGGGAGAGTCATTCAGAGGGCCTTGATACGAGATCATGAAAAACATGAGGATGGTTGATGTAGGTATTTTGGCGACACCCAGATATTGAAGGGACTTTGTCTGGATGTGACAAATGGTTCATTAAAACTAGTTTTGTAACACGCATCTTGGTGTGTGTTATTTTTCTATGAGATACGAAGTGGAAATACAGATGGGTAGATTAAAGTCTAAGATTTTCAGTAAATCTAGAATTTATATTCGGAATTCCTTCACAAACCTGCTAAAGATCATGACCACCGAGAAGCACTATACGTGAAAAATATTTTGTTTTGGCTGAAAAATAGATACCGGTGGCCCAAAAAAGAATACTCATGGCCAGACGAAACAATACACGAAACATAACCACGTATAGTGACTGAAGCGTTTGCCCATAAAATATATTCCAAACCATTTAAATATCAACCGAAAACCTACACCACAGCGATGAATACTGAGTTGTGGTGCAAAAAAGCATTACCAGTCAGTGGTTGAGTTACACAAAACATTGAAATTTTATGAAGCACTTGAGAAGCGTTCATGTACAAAAGAAAATGAAACTATACACAACCTTTATCAAATATTTTTACCAATCAGAAATTAGGGTTCAATTTGCATGGCAGCAACTAACACGGAGATCAAGTGAAGTCATAGGTTTACGTGTAATAATTTTATTCTTGCATGGGCAGCTGACCAAGTAGTTAGCGGGCCCGTTTCAATATATATATATAAATAAAAAGCTTTATGCAAATTTATGGCGCCCCAGTTCCGTTTTCCGTGCCGCGGGGCCTGTAATAAATAGCTACAACTACAACTATAAATGTTTATTGTGATTGTCATAGGTTGTGCGTGTGTGTCTAATCCCACCTTTAGCGTTTAGTTATTGCTCTGCCTGCATTCCGTTTGCATTTACTGCTAGCACAAACAGGCGCGCCCACTAAATCAGCATATTGTCATTTACGGGATACAGAAGCAATAGGCAATGCTGAAAGGCCACACGAGTCAACATATACTTCACACTAACGTTGGCACTTTGCTGCGCCTGCAGTACGTCAGAAGTTTTTTCTCCAGCTAGAAGTCTGGAGCCTAACTTTTGTGTTTCAATCCCATTCTCAGCCATAGGTTCTTGATAAACCTCCAAGTATGCAACGGAGAAGCCTGGTGGGCTTTTGAGGCTCATATTGTCGCGTGCGGGGCCTGGTTGGCAGAGCTCGCGGCTCCCAAGCGGAGGCACGGATTTCAAAGCCTGCCAGCCCAGGCGCATTTTCACCCTTCGTACGTCTTCCGTAGCGTCCCAGATAAAACGGGAAGTTATCGTACCCTCTGGCCTAAAAACCCTTTGTGAGCATTGAACGTCAACAGAAAGAAGCTACAAACTGCGCGATGAGGG